GGGGAAGAGGGGAGTAACGGGAATGAACGTAGAAGACGAGGGGAGGGACAAGAGGGGATGGGAACGTGGGAGTCAAGAGGGACTGGAAGTGAAGAATAGAAAAACGTGAAGAAAAGGTGGAGGAGACCTGGGTGAAGCTGAGGACCCCGTCTAAATATATCAAGGGAAATGTTTGTCCGTTCGTGGTTAGAGGGAGGAGAGTAGGGAGACGGGAATGAAGTCTGAGATTATGGAGGGTGAGAAATGGAGAAAATGGGGAAGATGAGAGATAAATTGGGGTGCGAGGAGGGGAAGGGGGCAAGAAAAGAGGAAAGAGAGAAAATGGGGATGTGGGGAGAGAGGGGAAAGAATATGGGTGGAACGGGGGAGGGGGGGTTGGAGTGAGAGAGATTATCCCGGGCACCGCCGGCCACCACTCCTAGGAGGATATTCAGTATACCATTTAGAGGCCGGAGAAGAACCATCCCATCAAGGGCAAGAACGACCCCAGCCTCCTGAAGCAGAGTCTGGGCCGCCCGAGCACCAGGAGGTGGACGTTCCGGTAACGCACCTACGGGTTCCAGAGATCGTCACAGCCCTCTTCACCCGAGGCCGGCTTCCTTCATGACCAAGCATAAGGAAGCGTACTAATTATTAATTACAGCAGTTATTATTATAATTATTATTATAATAAAAATTATAAATAATTAATAATTGACCACGGTGGTCTCCGGATTTGGGGGTCCCTGTGCCTTCTTTTACCAACTTCGAGGTTAACTCTGGAGCTGGAGCCCCAAAGGCACTTCGTTGTTGCCTTCAACATCGTTCTGACAGTTCCTTCGTCGGCGCTGGAACCAATTTTATTGGCGTTTGCCTTTCCATTATAGACTTTTGGCACCGTGGAGAGAGGGGGACCTGATGCATGGGTGACAGCTTCTCCCCAATATCAACCTACCCTAGTTTTGAACCCTGGAGAAGCCACTCCAGACCTACAACCAGAGCGCAACTCCATAGTCTCCTGAGACTGATGGATGCCTACTACTACTATTTAGAGGCCCCGGAGCTGAACTTCGAAGCGGAGCAAAGACACACCTTGTTGGACCGCCCTGAATATCTGTTATTCTGAAAACTGTCATCAAATATATATATATATATTGGTTTGAAATCAATTAGTATCTGCAGAACAGAACCAGGAGTCCCATACTTTATAGAGTAAGAATATTATCCTCTTTCGTTTAAGACAATTTCCAATGTTTTCTGACAATTCAGTAATATGAAATCTGTCCCATCGTGTCTGCTTTCCCGTCTTTCATGTCACTGAATTCCATCAGGTCTGTCAAGTAAGATTTTTCCTCTCTGAACCGATAATGATTCTTTCCAAGGTTTTTCATTGTTCACTTTCTGATTACTTCCTCTATCACCTTACAAACGATAAGCAAATGAGTGACGCTTCTTTGGTTCCGCTTTTGCCCATTGGAGCGTTTGTAATTTCCTGCAATACAGTCCCGCCTCATGACTTCAATTTTGTACTAATAACACAATGCGAAGCACATTTTGTGCCTGGGTAATGATATTTTTTTATTGCGCCCCCAAAGTACAGAAAAAAGTTATTATTCTCCTTAAACATTGCTTTGACCTATCCCTAAAAACAGCCTTGGAAAGACTTTTGTAGAAACTTTAAGGATACAGATTCCTTATCTAGAATTCTAACACAGTGTTTCATAAACCGTCAACCTTCACATAACTTCAAGAAGTCTTCCCTAATCTGGTTTAAAACAGATTTCAACCTGATTTTAAAATTGATTTTGAGACAGATTTCAAAACTGATTTTGAAACAGATTTTTAAACTAATTTTGAAACAATTTTTAACACTGTTTTAAAACAGTTTTTAACACTGTTTTAAAACAGTTTTTAACACTGTTTTAAAACAGTATTTAAACTTCCCTAACATGTTTGTTAATAGGTCAAAGCAAGGTTCGAGGTAGAATAACGGTCATTTCTGATTGCTTATGCCTTTGGAGGTCTCATTAGTTAGAAAACAACACAACCAAGAACCAGAACAAAACCTGTTAGTGTAATCAGTTCGATTAGTTTGCTTCGGTTCTGAGTCAATTCGTTTAGACCTTCATGAGGATAACTGAATGACGCTACAGCCTGTATTTCATTGTATTGAGCCAAGGTTAAAGCCGTCACAGGTCAAGGTTAAAGATTAACATTACAGGTCAGGATACAGGCCAGCATCACAAGTCGAGGTCAAAGGTCATCATCACAAGGCAATGAATTAGAAAAATAAATATTTCCCATTGATCACGCAAAACTAATATAATTATATGAATCAATTAATGATTTATACATTTACATATATAATTATTGAACCTCATAATATATTTGCTTAATTAGGTATGGAAATATGGTTGGGCTAAATACGATGGAAAAATTACTTTTATCATTATATTTATGGCTGAAATCATATAAGCCAAATCCGTAATTATAATTTCTTAAAATTATTATTTATTAATGTTCACCTAAATATTTACTAAAATCAGAACTCACACTTGCACTCAGTCACAGGCAGACATATCGAATGCAATGTTCTCTCGGCCGCGGCAAGAACGATTGAAATGTTCTCGCTTCCATAGCAGGAATATTTTTTTAAAGTTCACAACACCCTAAAATAATGAGGGTAATGTTCTCTCCAACCTGCAAAAAAATTATTACATATTCTTTGCTCCTCGGGAAGAACGATTACAATGTTCTCAGCACCTTGTAGGAACGATTCCAATGTTCTCTCTTCATTGCAGGAGCTATTACAAGGTTTTCTCCATCCTGTAAGAAAGTTTACAATGTTCTCTTCTCTCCCTCCGCAAGGACGATTGCTGTGTTCTATCCACCATGCAAGAACGATTGCAATGAAATTTCCACGCCACAAGAGCAACAGCAATGTACTCATCACCCTCCTAGAAAGGGTGTAATGTTTTCTCAACGCTGTTAGAACGTTTGCAATGTTCTATATACCTTTAAAAACAATTGTAATGTTCTCTCCACCCCTGTTAGAACGACTGCAATGTTATATCGATCTTGGACGATCAATTAAAATATTGTTTCCACTTAGCAATATTATAATGTTCTCTGCATCCAGCTGAAAGATTTCAATTGTCTCATCATCCTCGCAAGAACAATTGTAATGTTCTTTCTATCCCACAAGAACGATTGCAATGTTCTCCCCACCCCAGCAAGTGCATATTAAATAGAACACTCTTGGGAGATTTCCTCATTATAATAATTCATCCCTAGTTCACTCTCACATAATTACCACTGCACCCTTTTAATGCCCTTGCACGCAACAGGTGCAAGCCACACCCTTGGCCCTCGACCACACCCTTGGTTCTCGACCACACCCTTGGTTCTCGACCACACCCATGGCTCTCGACTACACTAGGAAGAGCATTGGTAAGAGATGCTGAGGTGGCAAACTGCTTACAGAGTTTTAAGTGTTGATAGGATACAACAATATAGCCTCAGGAATCTGTTCACCAGTTGATTGATGGCAGAAAGGTGGGGCCAAAGAGCCGAAGCTTAACCCCTGCAAGCACAATTAGGTGAGAGCGGCAAGGTGAGTATAGATATGATCGTCGTTACATCCACTATGCCACCTTGCCCGAGCATCTTCATCTTCGTCTACACACCACACACAATACCACACATCACATCACACCATACACACACCACACCACACACTACACATCACACCACACACCACATCAAACACACATTACACACCACACTACACACCACACACCACACATCAAACCACACCACACACCACACACCACACCACACACCACACACCACACCACACACTACATACCACTCCACACATACACCACACCACACACACATACATTTCTTGAGAGAAAGCCTGAAGCTCTTTCCTTGGGTTCCAAGGAAAAAATTCTCAGTAAATCCAGCCTTCCTTATCCACACGGTGCATTGAAATATATGGCTGAAGCCTTCCTTGCCAACTAAGTGCACAGAAACATCTGTCTAAAAATTTTCGTTGCCCACTGGGGGTACTAAAATTTTTGGCTCGCCTATTCTTTGCCAAGATGGTGCTTGGAAATCTGTCCCTGTGTATAACCCTCTCGAGTCATCTTTGTCCATTGGCTACATGGAAATATCTGTCTCAGAACTAGTTCGAAATCAGTACCCGTTCATTTATCCAACTCAAAGACCTTTTTCATTAATCTCGACGCAATGCATCTTCAAAATCAGTATTTTCCTCAAATATAAATAAATGTTTTTTATATATTTTAATTTTGTGAATAATTAGGCATAGGTTTTTATCTAGTGCTGGCAGTAACTTTCATTTGCAGATCGAGGGTGAAAGAAACATTTAGAGGTGGGGTTCAGACATAGGACATGTTCGATAAATATTCGAATGCCATGAGTTGCGAATCGTACAGCCCAGCCCGTCCACAAAATAGGTCAAATGCTCGTTAATCTAACCGCCACACCCCACACGACTCATAACTGATGACGTTCGAACATTTCTTGAACAGTGCTTTGCTGACGACCTTCGTTCGAATCACAGCTCTGTATAAAAGCTTCACCCACGTACAATAAATACAAATGATCGCGAACAGATCCCTAAACACCTAGCCTAACCAGAGGATGGGTTGGATTGGAGATTAAATATGGCTAGAAGGGGTTTGAGGGATAATTCTTCTCATTGTAATGCCTTGGCGCATAATTGTTATTTACTAATAACTACTAAGTTAGATAATGAGCTATGTACATTTTTTTAATTAACTGAGTAATGAGAGGACGGGTTGCAACACTCAGGATGCATATTTGAAATTAACCATAACAATTTTTATTTCAGGAGGCATTTTTCTTATAATAATACTTATAATCTGTGATATTATCTACTCTTTAACTGAGCAAATAAATAAATATACTTGTGAGAAGAGGTCTGAAGGTAAAAATAAAAAAATCCTCATCTAAATCCCAACTAAACTTACCTTTAACAGCATTGAGTTGACTCCCCATCATCTGTTTTGCCATAAAAGCCGCCATCTCGTTCTGTTGCTGCTGAAGCTGTTGCTGTAGCTTCCACTAGAGAGGACACAAGTGGCACTAAGCCACCACCACCACAACCACCAACACCACCACACTACGCCTCACCACCACCACCACTAACAGTCACCACGTAAATCTGCGGGGAAAAAAGAAAGAAGTATTTGAGTATGTAAGATGGCCAAGTCTGTGAACTGGGTAAGGAATGCCTGTGATTAAATTGTGTTAAGTGCTGGGAAGTTCAATTCAAGTTCAAGTATGTTTATTGAGACAAGAAAAAAATACATCTCAAAGTGATAGAGAAGCTTAGGCTATTTCTACCCCCCCCCCCCCCCCCCTGATTGCTGGGAAGTGTGTTTAAACGAGTGAAAGAATGATGGGTTAATCTACTGAAATATATGAATGAACAGAATGCCAAGATAATGAGTTTATGTATGTGTACACATATTCATATGACATGCATAGGAATGTAAGGAGCGCTTCCCGGAGGCTGGAGAAGCCGGCGTTCACAACACCGCTTTTCCTCTCTGTCAGACCGATTCTTGAACATGCAGCGCCGGCATGGTGTCTTCGCCTATCTCGCACATAGTAAGCTTGGAGACAGTTCAGATACACCGCTAGACTAATCCTGCAGCTGAAAGGCGTTTGTTACCGTGATAGACTAACGGAAATCAAACCTTGAGTGGCTTGAGACAGGAAACAGTGGTGCCATGATCACAGCATAAAAAATACAAGATATTAGACAAGATAGAGACTTGAAAGCATAGTAATACGTATGAACAATGAGTGATCAAATGAGTCAATAAAATATTAAGACAGACTTTTTTCACTTTAAAGTAGAGTTGAAATAAAAAAAGAATTTGTGAGAATTTTAAGAGAACTAACACGATTGAATTACCGTAAGGGAAAGCCCACTTTCAGTTAGGGAATTCAAACAATTAAACAAGACCCAGGAGCTATAGCATGTTTAAAGCAAGCACTCAGAAGTTCCTGCAAGTACACACACACACACACACACGTTCATGCATACATAAACACGGATGTATACGTCAACATACATAAATACACGCACGCACGCACTCTCCTAAGTAGTGGGATTTCGTAAAAAGCGAACCTTCAGATAATGCTTGCAAAATAATTAAATCTGGTGACTGACTTTACTACTTCTTACCTTTCCCCTCTCTTTCTTTTATATTCAGGGCTTTCCACTCTCTCGTTCCCCTTTTTCCTAACTTTCCTCTCAATTCTATACCGTTCTTCGTTTCATCTCCCTCCCCCCCCCCTCTTCCACCCTTCTCAGATTTCTCTTTTCTCTCTCCTCTCATTTATTCACACATTTTTCCTCCCTTGCCTCTTCCGAGCCATTTACATTGGCTTTATTTTTCTCATCTTCCACTCTTGGCTTGTCTCGTCTCCTTTCACCTTCCTCTCCCCCTTATCTTTACTCCTTCTCCTCGCTCATTTTTTCTCTCTGCCCATTTTTCTCCCATTCCCTGTCACCGGGGAAGACAAACACCAACTTTCAAGACAGTACACAGGAAAGTTAGTCTCGGCTGCATACTTGTCCGTATCCAAGGACTCTCTGCCTTCCCGCTTCGAAAAGAAACTTCTTATATACCGAACTTTTTCCCAACATGTTTTACCAGTGTTGGCAATTCGATTTATTAATATATTAGATTTATTATTATGATTTATTATTAGCAGTCTCCGTGGTGTAGTGGTAAGACACTCGCCTGGCGTTCCGCGAGCGCTATGTCATGGGTTCGTATCCTGGCCGGGGAGGATTTACTGGGCGCAATTCCTTAACTGTAGCCTCTGTTTAACGCAACAGTAAAATGTGTACTTGGATGAAAAAACGATTCTTCGCGGCAGGGGATCGTATTCCAGGGACCATAGGATTAAGGACTTGCCCGAAACGCTACGCGTACTAGTGGCTCTACAAGAATGTAACAACTCTTGTATATATCCCCCAAAAAAAAAATATATATATATTTTTGTTAGGATTATTATTGTCAGTGCTATTAATACAGCCTTTTGTATTATCCGTGATGTACATGGAGACTCGATTGCGGGTGAGAGTGCCTGGTATATACACACACACGATGTGATGGTGTGTGATATATATTCCTTGTTATGCTGTTTCGTTCATCACGCATACACACACATCCGTGTTGCATATATACTCAACATTATAGCCCACATATTGCTTTTCAGATGCATGTATTAAGAATCATGGTTTACAGCTGATGAATATGAGCATTAATTAACTCGCATTGCTTTACCTAGTTTATGGACTAAAAATAATATATATGTGTAATGTATTAAATATACATGAATGCAAAACTTTTTTTTCAGTCTCAGTGTATTTTCGTAACCTCGAGTATTGAGAATTTATGTCGAGTCGCTGAAGGTAAAAGCACATTTCTGGTCTGAATAGGTTCACGTGTCTCATCTTGACACGTGTCTCATCTTGACACGTGTCTCATCTTGACACGTGTGTCATCTTGACACGTGTCTCATCTTGACACGTGTCTCATCTTGACACGTGTCTCATCTTGACACGTGTATCATCTTGTCACATCTGTCATCTTGACACGTGTCGCTTCATTTCCGTCAACGCTAGAGCCAAACTCTTT